TCTCTGGATCCCTGAGGAGTCCGAGCGCTTTGAGGATGCCCAGGTGGAGCACAGCATCTCCAGGTATAGTGACAAGTCTTTCCTAAAATCCCTGGGCAGACCTCCACCCTGCAGAGCCAAGGCATGGGGTGGCAGCTGGGGGGTGGCACGTGCCAGAAGTACAAATTCCAAGGCAATGAGACACTAAAGTGTCTGCATGTGATCTTGTCTAAACACCCCTCCAACCAGCCAGTGTGTGTTGGTATGACTGTGCCAGTTGTTAAAATATTGCAAAACTTCCCTAACAGTTTGTAAGTAGCTGCTGCTCCAAGACTGCTGAGTGGTCGGCCTCCCACCCCCTTCCCTGGCAGCCCTCAGACATCTCCACAATTCAGCAACAATGAAACTTTGAGTATTTTAGTACAAAACTGGTACCCTCAGACCCCTGCTTTCCTGATGGGACCAGAATCAGTTCCGACTGGTTCTTGATTGGTGTTTAAACACTGTGAGTATAACCATGAAGTGCACATGTGCATGCAGACACACACACACCATACCACACCATCATGCAGAAAACTGCTCAGCAAGGGAGGTAACTGTTTAAAAGCAGTCAGCAGGCAGATCCATGCCTGGAACTCAGGTCTCCTGACTACAGGTTCCCCCAAGCCCCGCAAAGCCTCATCCAGGGATGGTGCTGGATGGGGAGATATCCTCAACCCCCGGAGCTCCTCGTGTCTCCCCATTCCTTCTATGAGGGCAGATTCCAGTCTGTGGGTCCCCTCATGGCCTCCCACATGTCCTCTTTTTTTTCTCCAAGGAACCTTTCTGAAGAGGAGAGCCCCTTCCCACCCATTTCCATCCTTTTCCTCCTGGCCTGCATCTTTCTCAGCAAGCTTCTGGCAGCCAGCGCTCTCTGGGCTGCAGCCTGGCATGGGCAGAAACGGAGGACACCCCATGCCAGTGGGCTGGACTGTGGCCATGACCCAGGTTACCAGCTCCAAACCTTGACAGGTGAGCTTGGAGAGCACGGTGGCCGCTGGGGGCTGGTGAGGTGGTGCTGAGAGGGGCCAAGTGAGTACTCTGTCTGTTGCAGAGCTGAGAGACACGTGACAGGAGGACCCACGGTGGAGGAGAGGCCCAGGAGAGGTCTGCACGGACCACCCCAGCCTGCTGCACACCCGCCCCTTGGCCACCAAGTCTCCTGGTTCTGCTTTTGCAAAAGGCCACTCTGCCTGTACCCTGCTTCTCTTGGCCCCTGGAAGCAGGGATTTGTGCGTGTGTGCACGTGTGTGTGTGTGTGTGTGCGTGTGTGCATGGGAGGTGGGAAGGACATCTACCAACTTCTGGACATTGGACATTAAACACTCTCACAAATAAATCCAAGACTTCATGCTTAACTGATGGTTTAGGGCGTCATGAAGGTCTCTTTTGCTACAGGGCTAGGAGAGTGAATTCAGATGAGGAAAAGATAAAAGGTCTGGCTCCTTGGGGCCTAGGGTTTTAGGATATCATGTCCCTCCATTCCCACAGGCTCCAAACTGGCCAATCTTTTTATTCTTCTCTCTCCCTCCCAGAGATCTGATTACCAAGCCCTGCCTCCTCCTGTGGAATTTCTCTAGCATCCTCTCCTCTCCTCCTCCTGCCTCCTGTCCATCAGTTTCCTAGGATTACTGCTGGGCCCCCTGCCCCAGGCCCCCTTCCTCCCTCCACCCCCCTCAAGTCCATCCAATTCCCAGCTGACTCAAACCTCTAGCAAACCTAGAGGTTTGCTTTTATCATGTTACTCTGCCTCCGGAGAAATGGCAAGGGACTGGGTTGCAGAGTGCAGCGAACCAGAGCTGGGGACTACTGGTGCAAGCCCCTTATCCTGTGGAAGGGAAACTGCGACTCAAAAGGGAAAGGATTCACCCAAAGTCCCTCGTAGAGCCTGGAAATCCTACTTTCACTTGGCGTTCAAGATGTCCTTCCCTCTAGCTCAATCCTACTCATTTATTTGTATATTTATTCAATAAATATTTTCCGTGCCAGGTACTAGTCTAGGCATTGGGGACATAACAGTGAACAAAACAAGCAAAGATTTCTGCCCACACAGAGCCATGTTCTAGTGGGAAGAGAGCAGACAAACAGAGTAAGTCAGTCAGTCAGATGGTTAGGAGTACGGGGAGTGCAGAAGGCGCGGGGGATGATGCAATTCTGAAGAGCAGTCAGAAGGAACCGTTTGAGAAACGCTTTGAGGAAGCAAGGGGGGAAGAGTGCCAGGCAGCTCAGGGAACCTTCTCTCTCTCTTCAACACACACACGCCACCTGAGGTGGAGTGAGGAGAATGGGATGGACACTACCCTGAGAGTGGGTTGCCCCGAAGAGGAGGAAGCAAGTTGGCCACATCCTCAGGTTCTCTGTCCTGGGCCTCAGGGAGGTGGAAGCCCAGGAGCCCTGTGGCCATGGCCACACTGGGCTGCGTTGCCCCCTAAGCTGGGTGTGGGTACCTGGGGTTTTGAATCACTGGGAAGGAGCCCCTGATGCAGTCCTGTGTTCCAGCCTCATGTCAACACATCACTCCCCTAATTGCAGTCCTGCCCCAGCCCTGCCTCACCCACTCCCTGCTTAGGCTGCTCTGCCGTCTCTGTCCCCAGCTCCAGGACTCTGGTCCAGTCTGTGTTTCCCTGGTGTCCCTGACTCAGCGGCACATGAAACTTCCCCATCGGGTCCTGGGGCAGTCGTCTCCTTCCTGCAGACACAGGCACAGTCTAGGAGCCAAGGCTGAGAAGAGCCCAAACTGAGCCCCCTGCACCTCCCTCGCTCCCGCCCGGTCTGGGCACCGAGAGTGATGAGATGGAAGGGGAGGCTCCAGGATGTGCCTGGTGGTGGAGTGCCGCCGGAACTTTCCTCCCCTTGGGAACTCAGCCTTTTCTCCTGCCTGCTCTGCCATGTCAGAGACATCTACCCTGGGATTCAGATCGCCACCGGGATCCCCTGCCTTGGACTCTCTGGAGTGCACACTGAACAGAAGGGGTTTTCCAATTTCAAGTTTGCCTCCTACTAAGAAAACTTAAGCAAATTCCTTAACTCCTCTGAGCCTCAGGGTCCTCGCATGTAAAAACAAACAAAAAACCCAACAGCAAACCAAAACAAAACAACTCTACTTTGGTGGGTTTTTATGCGATTGAAAGGAATAATATTAAAGTCCTGGCCAGATGTCTGGCACATAGTAGGTCCTGGCTAAGCGCTGGCTTCCTTCCTCTTCTCTAATGCCCAATGATAGGACACCTCCCTGGATCCTGGCCACCTCTGTCCTAGGCACCCAGCACCTACCATATCTGTTTTAGGCACTCAGTAAATATTGAAGAGAGGTCTCCTCCTCACACAATGCTCCCACATGGCTTGTTAGTGTGAAAATAATTTTCTTGTAAGGAAATCAAAGAAAGCTTGATACATGCTGGCAGGACAGATATACGTACTTCCATATCACTCACTGGGGAGACCCATCTGTCCAGTTAGCCGGAGACTCTGCCAGTGTTAGCACTGAAGGTCCTGTCTCCTGGAAAGACCCCCAGTGTCAGGTAAACAGGGATAGCTGGTCACCCCATCACCATGTCCATGAGGCTCAGCTTAACGCAGAAGCCGGCTTTCTCGGGCTCCTGCTCCCAGTTTCCCATTCTCAACTCCCTTGCTCCTGGAGAAAGTAGAGAGGAAGAGAGAGGGGAGGAGGAGAGAAAAGAGGACAGAGGAGGGAGGGAGGCTGGCTTTTTCATGCCCCTTTCCAGGTATGACCATCTAGGTCAGAGCAGTGTGTCCTCCCAGCCATCCCCACCTTAACTGCTCCTGTCTCTCTGAGCACTGGTGCTCCCCCGGTGTCAGCAGGTTTATTACTCACATTCCATGTAGGATCCCCAAACCCCAGTTCTGCACAAGGTGACGTGAATGAGGGCCAGATGGTCCCTGTACAGGGAGTGGGTTTGTGTCATAGGACAGGAACCCCAAATTATGAGACTTGGAGCTTATATAGAACATCTGCATGTTGGCCCTTCTTCCTCTCTGGAGAGAGAGAGAGAGAGAGAGACAGAGACAGAGACAGAGACAGAGAGAGAGACAGAGAGGTCTTCACTCTGGAACATGAACTAATCTTCTCCAGGGAGGGAGGGGAAGGATGGAAGCAAATCTCTCTGGAGCTGACACACTGTCTCTAACTCCCAAGGCATGTTTGCTCTTCAATCGCCCTGGAACAAAGCTTGGTGAGTGCCCTTTCCTGGGAAGGCCCGAAAATGTTCATAGAGAACTGTCTCCTAACAAAGAGGATAATGCATTCATGAAACAAAAATAATATGCTATAAATAAGAAATGCTTGGAGAATAACAAGTCTTGTAAATTAAAAGCACTAAGGGATAAAAATCTGAAGCACAAGGAGAGAAGGGATGGAAGAAAAAGATGAAGATATCTTCTAGGAATCAGAACAAAAAGATGGAAACTGAGAGAGAAAAGCTATGAAGATGAGATGAATACATGAGGTTCAATATCCAACTAATTATCAAAGCAATAACGCAAATCCTAGAACTGGAGCACGTGGTCCACACTCAAAGTGTCTAGGGAGCGCGCATCTGAGGGAATGAAGACAGGCCAGCCCAGGGCGCACGTCAAGGTGGGGCTTCCTGGACGATCTCCTGAGAACTTGGGTGGGGCACTCACACAGAATTTAAAATCAAGATGGCCTCGGGCCATGAGAAGGACACTATACTTCCCTCCTTCACAGCTCTGCCTCATCTGATTCTATATTTGGAATACCCTGAGGACCATCTTCCCCCTTTCTCTAATGCTCTCTGGTTGTCACAATCCTCCCCCCCCTCTTCATTCCTTAGGGGTGGGCAGGCTCCCAGCCTTCTGTTTTTCCTTGGGTCTTCTCACCCTACCTTGCCCATTCTTACCCTCAGGGATTGTTCCTGAGCACTGAACCAACCAGGGCTTGGAAGAGCTCCTTCTCCCCACCCATGGAGGGGCCCACCAGTGCCTGCTTCCCAGCCCATGGTCACTGAGAACCCCACGTGACCGTCTGAGGCAAAAGTTTCCTGCCCCCAGGGGAATGCTGTGTCAGTGCCCAGGCAAGCCCCAGAGCTGACATCTCCCTGCCCAGCCATGGGCCCCAACCTGCTCCTGCTGCTGTTCCTGGGACTAGCAGGTAAGCTTCAGAAGGAGCTGCACTCTGGGTCCCCACATACCCCGCTCCACGCCCAGGAATAACGAGCATTACCATGGCAACAATAACATGTAGGCCCACAAGGTGGACCTCTAGATCCCTGTGCCCCTATGCAGTGGGTGGGCCAGGAGGTGCCCTGTCCAACATCCCTGCAACTTTCCTTCCCTAGGCCAGGGCTCGGCTGGCAGCCTCCCTGAGGTGCTGCAGGCGCCTGTGGGGAGCTCCATCCTGGTGCAGTGCCACTACCGACTCCAGGATGTCAAGGCTCGAAAGGTGTGGTGCCGGTTCCTGCCAGAGGGATGCCAGCCCTTGGTGTCGTCAGCTGTGGATCGCAGGGCCCCAGCCAGCAGCCGCATATTTCTCACTGACCTGGGGGGTGGCCTGCTCCAGGTGGAGATGGTTACCCTACAGGAGGAGGATGCCGGAGAGTACGGCTGCGTGGTAGAGGGAATCTCAGGGCCCCAGACTGTGCACAGAATCAGTCTGGATGTGCTCCCTGCAGGTGAGTTATCTCAGCCTGGCCACCACTGCTCTAACCTGCCTTCCTGCCCCACCAGCTGCTCTTGGGTCCTTGGTGGGTAGGGGCCCTTGTCGGGGAGGAATTGGGAGCAGATATCCTTTTGACAGCTCTGCAGGGAACGGAAACCAAACTGGGTGAGAAGTCTGAGATAAACCAGCCACACAGCAGTCCCCTTTCCCCTCCCGCACAAGTGGGTCTCCCCACAGGAAGGCAAATTCTCTTTCCCCACTCAGGACCTTGGCCTCCTTGTCCAGCATTTTCAACATACTTGATGCTATTATTTTGCTTAGAAATGTTTTAAACAAAGTTTTAATTCAGACATATCAACTGGAATTAAGTTTTTTACATCTTCCAGGTTTTTATTGCTGTAATAACAAGTCTGATGGCTTAAAAACTATTGAATTTATATCTTATTTAATTTTATAGGTCTTCACTGAGCATCTAGTATGTGCCTCACCTACAGGCAGGGTACATTCAATGCCTGAATTCCTTCAACTCATTCAGTTTTACAAACAGAAAATAGTGTCAGCAACAGTTAATATTATAGGGTTGAGAACAGTTAATATTCTCAACCCTATTTTCAGTATAGAAACTATGTTCACAGGTTTCATTTTCACAGGCTATAACTTTCTCATGTCTAAGTATTTATTGAAAGTACATTTTAAAGTAGTAAATTTTTCCCATAAACATAGGATATTGTAAAAAAAGAAGTGCTCTGTCGGGAACGCGGTCAGCTACCTGAGGAAGCAGAAACTGTCCTACCTTGCACTTGTGGATGCTGACATTGTTTTCATTTTCAGGTCTTCCTTTTTCAAGTAATTTGTGCCAAATGCCCAAAATAATGAAATTAAGAAAGGCATTTTTCCTTCTCTCAGTTTTTTCTCCATCTTTTAATTACGAGGATGGACTAAGCTCTCATTAGAATCCCTCTTGAGTCCACAATTATTATTTATATTATAAATATACTTCTGTTAACCCTAGTCATCCTTTGTTCTCCTTCTTCCTTGACACTAAGGTTTAGTAACTCAAGATTACAACTCCCTAAATGGCAAGCTGTGACAAGACAATGCACAGGGAATAGGTGGCAGGGAGACAGGTGCCTGAAGTGGGGCAGGTGCTGAGGACCCCAACAGCTGTAGAGAATGGATGTTCAGGCAGGCAGGTAGAGCACAGTATCTAGGGAGGATGTGGGTGATTTAAAAAACTCCAGGAGATCAGGACATATGCAGCAAGATTGGGGCCATAGCGTCTCCAGTTCCTGGATTGGAATGGGTTGGGTAGTGGGAATGGTGAATCTCTGAGAACATGGCAAGACTCTCCTCTCAGAGGGTCTAGAAGGACTGCCCGGGTTCCCAAGGCAGATCCTCAGGCCCAGAGAAACCAACCCTGAGTCCCACAGACAGAAGTTAAGCATGTTGTTGGGATGACAGAAACCTTGTCACAAAACTAAGTCTCAGGGTCCAAGCAAGGCTCTCAGCAAGGATCAGTTGGCATTGTGTCACATCAGGGCTGACCCTAAGTTCCTTAGCTCCTGAGCGCAGAGCTTGGGGTGGGGCTCAGCCAGCCTGCAGGGGCGGTCACAGGGTTGCAGGTATGTGGAGAGGTCTAGCAGGCTGGGCTGAGGCCCCTTTGGAGAACAAGTGATGAGAGCCAGGAGCAAGGTCTCCAATGAGATGAGTGAGGTTGGGTAGGGAGGTGGGCACAGATTACCCAGTAGGGTTTCTGCATAGTCTGAGCAGCCTGGGTACAGGGGGAGCAGGTGGAGAAGAAATGCAGGGGGGGAGGGTTGGGAGCTGGTGGTAAAGGGGAAAGTGAGCATATTCACAACCAGATAAAGACATAAAGAGGCCATTCCCTGACCTCCAGAATGAGAGGCCCCTAAGGAATATCCCAAGCACCGCTTCTTTGTGTTCCTTACTTGGGACTTCTCCTTCCTCAGCTCTACTCCCCCAGTCCCTCAGATCTCAATAGGCCCTTGAACCCTGCCCACAATGGGTATGTTCTCATTAAGTATTTCCTTCTGACTCAGCTCCTGGCCTGAAAGAGGAGGACGAGGAGACCCATCAGGTCGGGAGTCTGGCTGACATCTCCTCTTCAGATCCTGTAGGCAGTGCCAGCCCTTTGGATCCCAGCCGAGATAAGAAGAGGTACTGACAAGAACTGTTATTTGGGTAGCTGGGAAGGGGTGGTGGTGAAGATATGGCTTGTTTAGAGCCCCAGACTAAACTGAAAAGAAACTTTATGATTCTTTCCACTCCTGGGGAATTTCTGACCAGGCAGACAGACAGACAGACAGACATACTTCCCTCCCAGTTCAGCACTGACCCCTTCATCCCAGATCTCCAGCCAAGATACCCTGATAGTGTCTCTCTCTGCCCTGCCTGAGTCTGTCCTCCTCATTCCATTCCAAAAATCTTTCTCCAACCGTGGCTCACCAAGAACTGCACCTCTGTGCCACTTCTCTAGGATTCCTGGCAAGCAGCTCCGTGCCAGGCTCAGGGCTAAGCTCACCTACTCCTTTGTGTCTCTCAGCGGACCCTTGATTTGGGGTGCTGTGCTCCTGCTGGGCCTGCTGGTGCTGGCGGTGGTGCTGTTTGCTGTGATGGCCAAAAGGAAAGGTACGTAGCTGTCCACCTGCCTATCTCAGAATGGCCCCCTGGTCCTGTATCAGCCAGTCTTGAATTCAAGGCTGAGAATCTAGGTCTGCTCCCCCTACAGATGTGCTTCAGTAAGGGTCCCCAGACCCTAGAATTCCCATGGCTGAGGGGTAGAAGAGAGCAAAGAGATTCAGTGGGAGGCGGCCTGGGGAGAAACAGGAATTGGAGAGGGTGAGACAGTGGGATTGGGGACAGGTGACTGGAGGAGGTGGGGGATTTCGGGAGATGGATTGAGTGTTGAGGCAGGTTGAGGGGAGCTGTGGAAGCAGTAAGTGGGTGGGGGGAGAGTTAGGGCTGGCTGGGGGTGGGGGCTGGGGAGATGGAAGGGGAAAACTTTGCTGGTGGGAGTGGGGAAGGTGGAGGCTAGGACAGAGGTTTCCAAAGTTTCTGAAGGGCGTGAGGCGGGCACTGAGTCAGCACAAGAAGCAGACTGTGCTTCTGTCCTCTGTCCTGCCAGGGAACAGGCTTTCTGCCTGTGGACGATTTCAGAGCAGTGGAGTCTCAGGCTCGGTAAGAGATCTCCGCAGGCCCCCAGCCAAATTCCCCAGACCCTCCCTCTGCCACAATCACTGAGAAGTCCCAGGATGATGAGGTGGAGAAAAGACTGTGACCCAGTAGAGGTCCAAACCCTCTTCCCAAACGCTGTAAACTTGGCAACAATGGTCTCCTACCTTCCCACCTTGCTATCCACCTTCCCAGATTTGTAGAGAAACTCGGGGCATGAAAATCTTCAAAGTGAAGCCTTCTTGCCCACTGACATACTCAGGATTGAAGAGACAGATCCAGTCTGGTCCTAGGCTTCCCATCTAAGGGAACTGGGGCAGACGGAGGCATTTTCTCTTTGCCTGATTTGCCTGCTTTTGTTACAGGCCCCCTCCTCAGTGGTCCACCACATCAGTGACTCTGGACTGGCTGCTGACTTGCCATCGGATGTACCATATGTTAGGCTTGACTCGCCACCTTCCTTTGACAATAACACCTACACCAACCTTCCTCTTGATTCCCTGTCAGGGAATCAAATCAACCCACCCCCAGCCCCATCCTGTTTGCCCCCTCTGCCTGCTAAGGCTGAGATCTGCTCCAAGCCTGTGACATACGCCACAGTCACCTTCCCTGGAGGGGACAAGAGTGGAGGAGCCTCCTTCGAGCCAGCCCAGGATCCACCTAATAGTGAGATTCCACCCAGCTAAGCTGTTCACCATCCTGTAAACTCACAGAGATCATCCCCAGGGTTCTGTGCAGCCATCCACGCAGTCTGTGCCCTAGATCCTTAGGATATCAGAGCAACTAGGGTCTTTAGGATCTGATCTAATATCTTGACTTTTCTCACCTGGTAAGTGATACTTGGAATGATTGAGGTGTCTGGGGAAGCCCCCCCCATGCTAGTTCCTCTGCCATTACACCACAGGGCTAAATAAACTCTACATGATAATATATGAGCTCTTGATGCTTGAGGGGGAAGGAAAGGGCCCAAGTTTGACTTCACATGGCCCAAGAACTGAAAACACTCGTCCAGAGTTTGTGTTGTATGATCTCCTGCCTGTTCTGCTAGCGGGGAAGTGGTTTCCCTCCCTGGTCAGAATACTGCACACAGTTTGAATTAAGGGGCATCAAGAAGACTTCTTCAAAAGTATTTCCTGCCTTTATCAGGATACCTGAAAGTATAGAGTCATTTGCTCGAGTCTAGAAATCTCTTCTGCTTTCTGCTCTATACCTTGTAAACAAGTGACATCTTATGATGTAACAACATATGGTGGGAGAAGGGGGATAATAATTAGTTAAAGGAGATTCAGGAAAGATGGGGTATGAGAGATGAAGTTGAAAAGAAACAGGAGTAAGGTCAGAAACTGAAATAAATACCAAGCTTAATCCTTGGCAGGACAAAGGATTTTCAAGCACCAGGAAATGAAAGAACTTTGCAGACATCAGTTTTACCAGAGCTGGCTCTTTCTCAACTGGGTGATCATCTGGTAGTTCTGTTCCCTTTGGCCTGAACTCTGAGCCTGGGACGAGTCCAGTGGAAAAAGGGCATGGGGGTGAGGGGAGGAGGAATAAATGGTAAGGGTATGACCATGGTTAAGTGTAAATGAAAGCTAGTCCAGCCTGGGGATAGGAGGCCCTTTAAGGTTTCTGCCATGATTTCTTCTCAACTGTTCAGTTTGAAAATATTTGCCCATACTGAGATGAGAGACTTAAATGGAGAAGATGAGGTGCTCAGGAACCCAGTCTTTTATAATCACGGAGAACTAAGCAAAAAGAGATTTTGGCCATCTGGACCATCTGGAAGGGCCCTAAGCTTGGTCTAGATATCTGAGGAGAAGGAACAGGCAGGGACTGTGTAAGTCTAGCGATGCTATTTTCAGGAAGCTCTGGCAGGATGTTTTGAGCTTCCTCTGATAGAGTCTCAGCCTGTGACAGAACCTAAATTTACTCTGTCCCTTAGGGAGGCAGGAGCTGCCCACCAATCAACTAAGCCCTCATTTCCCCTGGCTAAGATGACTGGGGACTTGCCTGGTGGGAAGGCAAGGTTGGGGGGAGGGGGAGGGCAGGAGAATGTGGGGGAAGGGCAGACTAGGTCTAAAAAGCACCCCTCTGGGAGAAACTTAACCTGGTCTGAATGTAGTTTGAACTTTTTAGAACGTGAGAGAAGTAAAGGTATATTTAACAATACAAAAGAAAATACTAAGATAATCAATTGGCTGGAAGAGAAGAGGGAAGGAGAAATATATTAATTCCATCATTGCTTTGGTTGGTATTCATAGACTTCCAACCAGAGTCATAGGTATAAAAGTAACTGCTAAGATGAAAATACTAAACTAAATTTCATTATAAGAAACACAAAAACAAAGCAAAGAAAATGCAGGTGACATGGTGAGGTGACTGCTTCATATCAGAACCTTTGGAATTCAGTTAAAGAAGTTCTCAGAGGAAAATTCACACCCTTAACAAGAATTAAGCATCTAACTCAAATAGCTAATTTTAAAGGAGAAAAATGACATAACTAATACATAAATAAAAGAGCTTATTCTCTGAAGTAAAATGAAATAAAGTGTTAGCTAACTTTACTCAAGAAGATGGATGAAATAAATGACAAGGGGAAAATCATCACAGATATAAACACAAGGAAAAAAAATAACAAGAGTATTTTGCGCGGGTGGTGGTGAGAGTGGGAATGACTCTAAAGGGGCCTGAAAGAACTTTTGGGGGTGATTAAATGTTCTCTATCATGTTTGTGGTAGTGGTTACATGGGTTACATTTGTCAAAACTCATCATTTAAATAGGTGTACTTTACTGCATGTAAATTATATTTTGATAAAATTTATTTTAAAAAATACTTGAAAGGTCATTGGGGAATAGTTAAAATAATCTTAGAGGAAAAAAATCTTTAAAGTATTACACAAAACTCAGCAGCCATAAAAGAATTCATAGATACATTAAAACTGACACATTAGGATAAATTAAGAAAAGACTGATACTTTTCCCTTTATGACAAAAACACCATAAACAAAAGTCAAAACACAAAATGAAGAAAAATTTTGCAGCTCATACAAAGGCAGATGGCTCATTTCCCTAACCCCTACAAATCAACTAGAAAACAAATACTTAATAGAATACAGTCACAGAATACATACCTATAGCCCACACAAAAAGAAATATAAACATAATAAAGATGTTTAACTTCATCTAAGGGAAATACAAGTTAAAAGTACATTGAGAGTGATTTTAAAAGAAAGTGGTTAGAGAACTCTGAAAATTCTCTCCTCCATAAAAGAAACAAGAAAACTGGCAAAAATAGAATCAACTTTTTCAGAACTCTGGAAATTAACCAATGGCTTGCATCAATCCAAGGAGTATTTACTCAAGAAAAATGGCTTTCCCCTGCCCCTATTTGATTTAGAAGACAACTTCATTAAGCAATAATTATATGCCTGTGTTGACGGGTACACCATTTATTAAGATGTAACTTCTATGACAATAACAATATGAAGAAGGCGGGAGGGAATGGGGCTATATAGAATCAGTTTTTGTATATTATTGAAATTAAGTTGGTATTAATCTGAACTATATTGTTAACTGTAATCCCTACAACAAGAAAATAACACAAATTATATAGTAAAAGAGATGACAAGGGAATTAAACTTAACTCATTTAATATAACAAAAGACAGTGAAGGAATAGAGGAGAAAAAAAGACATAAGACAAGTAGAAGACAAATAACAAGATGGAAGACATAAATCTTACCTTACCAGTAATTATACTGAATGTAAACAGATTAAACATTCCAATTAAAAGGCAGAGATTGGCAGAATGATTAAAAAACACATGATCCAACTATATGCTGTCTCTAGGAGACAAACTTTGGATTGAAAAACACAAGTTGGCTGAAAGTAAAAGAATGGGAAAACATAAATCATGCAAACTAGCTATAAAACACTGGAGTAGCTATACTAATATCAGACAAAATAGACTTTAGGACAAAGATTGTTACTAGTGATAAAGAAAGGACATTCTATAATGATAAAAGACTCAACCCATTAAGAAGATATAATGATGATAAACATATGGGTACCTAACAACGGAGTTTCAAAATACAGCAAAAACTGATAGAACTGAAGGAGAAATAAACAAAGAGTAATGGTTGTAGACTTCAATATTCCACTTTCAAAAATGATAGGACAAGTAGGTGGAAGATTAGCAAGGAAAGAGTAGACATGAACAACACTATAAACCAACTAGACCTCACAGATACCTATAGAACACTCCACCCAACAACAGCAGAATACACATTCTTCTCAAGTATACATGTAACAGTCTCCAGGACAGACCATATATTTGACCATAATCAAGTCTAAATAAATTTAAAAGGATTGAAATCATACAAAGTATGTTTTCTGACCATAACAGTATGAAATTAGAAGTCAATAGTAAAATTTGGAAACTCACAAATATGTGGAAATTAAACAACTCACTCCTAAATAACAAACAGGAAAAAGGAATCTCAAGAGAAATTAGAAATACTTTGAAATGAATGAATATAATTACACAACATACCAAAACTTAGGTGATTCAGCAAAGTCAGTGCTTAGAGGGAAATTTATAGTAGTAAATACCTGTATTTTAAAAAAAAAAGAAGAAAGATCGATCTCAAATTAATAACCTAACTTTCCACCTGAAGAAACTGGGAACAGAAGAGCAAACTAAACTCAAAGCAAGTAGAAGGAAGGAAATAATAAAAATTAGAGCAGAAATAAATGAAATAGAGAAAAGAAAAACAATAGAAAAAAATCAGCAAAACCAAGAGTTGTTCTTTGACCAGCTCAACAAAATTTACAAACCTTAGCTAGACTGGACAAGAAACAAAGAGAAGACGACTCAAATTACTAAATCAGGAATAATGAAAGTGGAAGGAGAACTACTGACCTTATGAAATAAAAAGGATTATAAGAAATATTATGAACAACTGTATACCAACAAATTAGATAACTCAGATGAAATGGACAAATTCCTAGAAAGACACAAACTACTGACACTGACTTAGGAAGAAATAGAAAATCTGAATAGACGAATGCCAAGTAAAGAGGTTTAATTAGTAATCAAAAAACTTCCCAAAAGAGAAGCCTATGCCCAGATGGCTTCACTGGTGAGTTCTACCAAATGCTGAAAGAATTTTAAAACCAATCCTTCACAAACTCTTCCAAAAAACAGAAGAGGAAGGAATACTTCCCAACTCATTCTATGAGGCCAGTTTTACTTTGATACAAAAACCAGACAAAGAGATCACAAGAAAACTGCAGATCAACATTCCTTATGAATGTAGATGCAAAAATCTTCAACAAAACACTAGCAAATAGAACCTAGGAACAAACAGAAAGGATTATACACCATGACAAAACGTGATTTATTCTAGGAATGCAAGGTTGGTTCTACATTTGAAAATCAATATGATACACCATATTAACAGAAACCGCCCCCCCCCAAACCACATGATCACTTCAACAGGTGACAGAAAAAGCATTTGACAAAACCCAACACTCTATCATGATAAAACACTCAACAAACTAGGAATAGTACGGGATTTCGTCAACCTGATAAAGAGCATCTATAAAAAATTCACAGCTAACATCATACTTAAAGGTAAAAAACTAAAAACTTTTCCCCTACAGTTGAGAACAAGAAAAGCATGTCCACTCTTGTCACTTTTATTCAACATTGTACTGTAGGATCTAGCAAGTGCAATTAGGCAAGAAAAAGAAATAAAAGGCATCCAGATTGGAAAGGAAGAAGTAAAATTATCTCTATTCGCAGATAACATGATCTTGTATATAGAAAATACTAAGGAGTGCACCCAAACCAAAAAAACTTAGAGCTAACAAATGAATTCAGCAAAGTTTCAGGATACAAAACCAATATGCAAAAATCAGTTTTATTTC